GTTTCGCCCATGATATCCCCCATGTGTTGCCATTCCTGAGGACTCAGGTGTTATTCCTCTGTACCCTGTAAATTGTATGGAGAGGGATATGCTCGGAGTCTCTTTGCTTAATAAAATCCGAAACGAGGATATCCGCAAAAGAACCAAAATAACCGACATTTCTCGAAGAATAAGTAAGCTGAAGTGGCAATGGGCTGGTCACATAGCTCGAAGAACCGATAACTGATGGGGAAGAAAGGTTCTTGAGTGACGACCACGTACGGGTAAACACAGTGTAGGATGACCCCCCACTAGATGTAGTGACGACCTAAAATGCGTTGTAGGAAGTCAGTGGATGTCAGGACCGTTCTTTATGTCAGTCTATAGGGAAGGCGTATGCCCAGCAGTAGACGGGTAATGGCTGAAATGATGGTGATGCTGATGACATATGTAGTTGTATAATTTAAAATTTGTATCGTATTTCTTGTCTAATTTTGTTTAGTTTAGTTTTACCAGAGGGAGACTTTATACAAAAGTCATTTGCTTGGACGCCTCTGTCCCATTCGTGTTTCAAACGTGAAGCAGTTGTGTTTGCATGACTGTGTCTCGGATCGAAGTATGGGATATGACAGTGAATTTACAGGGTACAGAGGAGTAACACCTGAGTCCTCAGGTATGGTAACGCATGAGGGGTATCATGGGCGAAACAGTATACTCTGTTATGTCCATGGTACTCATGTCTATAGGCGACGGTTACCACTTTCCAACAGGTGTAGCTTGTTTGCCATTCTAAGTTGTATAAAAAATTTGCAACCAACTACCTTAAGACAAGTTTATTAATATAGTACTGTGTAGGTAGATATGTCTAAGGCGCCTGCAAAGCGATCTATTAGAATGTCTCAAAAGATATGCCCATTGCATTATGCATTCATGTATTCAACAACTTGGGACCTCGTAAACTTGAACTCGGCTATCAAGTGGAACGGTTCTAGCTTATAAGTCAGTGCTTATCTCTTGACCTACCGGTTATGATTGCCTGTGTAAATATACGCTTGTCTACGGTTAATTTTGAACAGTAATAAAATAGTTAACTTATTTCTTATAAGCTGTTAAGACGCGACTAAGTGAGCTTTATGATCGAAGGGTGAGCTGTAACTTCCGTCTTAAAATTTGGAAATGACGAAGCCAAAAACTACGGACATAACCCCTCAAGAGGGAGGCCTACGTTCAGCAGTGGACAGTTTTTTTTTAATGCGTGATAATGGACTGGTAACCCCGCCTGCGCTCACGGTGTACGCTGACGGGGCTCCAGTGAGGGATGATAGGTGACGATGAAAGCAGGTCAGTTAGCCCATTGAGACGAATTAGTCGTACAGTGGATTTTTATCCAATTCTTAAACGCCTAATACTCGGGTTTGGGAGAGAGAAGGGATCGGCAGTAATGCGAACTACCAGTTCCATTGCTAGCAATATACCCTGTCAGGTCATCCCACGTGGTCCCTCCGAGAACCATCGTCTGAATCCCAGGTCTATTCATCACGATGGGCTAACTGACCTGCCTTTTCATACTCACCTATCATCCCTCACGGGTGCCTCACCAGCGTATACCGTGTACGCAGAGTTACCATTTCATTACCATCAATTAAAAAAAATACTCGAATTCCGATGGTAAACAGGATAAACAGTTGCCCACCTATACCAGGACGTTAGAGCAGGTTTGTTTACAATCCTCTACTGCGACTGGTTCCGCGCACGATGCGAATGTCATGTTTATTGTGCACCTCAATTAACAATAATTTATACCTACTTTCCGTACCTTATCCTGGGCTATCTAATTAGACGGGGCCGTAAAACAGTATTGGAATAACATCTGCGTTTTGTTGACCAACGGTGAATTTATGGCGTATCCCGTATTTACTCTATGACTGTAAAGGCATTTTAGATTACGTAGATATAGCATCGAGCCTCAAAAACGGGTCAACTTTTTATCTGCTAATTGTCAAATTAGCTGACTCGTTTCTTTTATTGATGTTCTATATACTTACGCACTCAATGTTTTTGACGTATCTATATTTAATAAATAAGTTTTTGGGCATTAAAAAGCTGCAAAATTTATAAGACAAAATAAATATAGAAGTTATAGAGGAATTATTCATAACTATTTATCACGCAAAATTGTATGAAAAAGTTGACCCGCTTTTGTCGAAGCATTTGTATGAAGACATTCTATCTATATAATTTAAGAAAGGCATATACGCAGCGCAAAAAAACATTAATTGAAAGACAATTAGTGAAAACCAAGAAGCGTGGTGGAGGAAGGGGTAATAGATTGAATGGATCGCGGACGTTAATCCCCATTGCTAGCAATATACCCTATTGGGGGACAAGGATTGTCAGTAATGGAATCTTACAACTTCATTACTGGCAATATACACAGTCAGGTCGACCTCCACGCGGTTCCCCCTGGAAACCATTGTGTTAGTTTTTGTAAAATTCACAGATCATAAGTCGAGTTTAATTCGTGACATTTGTAGAGCAATATCTTACGTTTTAACGTTGAGGTAAAAACGAGTGTCCGGTATTGAAATCGTAAAATTATTGTTATATGTGTAACTAAAATGCAAAATTTATATTTGGCTCGGTTAAATAGCTAAAAGCGTAGTTTAAGAACCTCTTATTGAGATTTATCTAATTAACAGCATCCGACAGAGTGCTAAGCGGCGCGAATGCTAATGATAATTTCGCCCTACTAGTGCGACATTGAGAAACTGTTCGGGGCCAGGGTTACCCTCCGTCCGGATTTTTAAGGACATATCCGGATTTCCAATTTACGAATCCGGATTATATCCGGATTTTTTCTTGAAAAACATTTTAATTAATATTAAATTTTCGCATTACAATACTTAAAAAAAATGCTTTTGTATTTTTGTGTGACTTTATAAGTCCGGATTTTTTTTTTAATTAACACACAACACTAACCCCGTCACGCTTAATGTCCGGTCTTTCCAAATGTTATAATGGTAACCCTATATGAGACATTACAGACACACGGCAGGTTAGACCGGGAGCGATCGCCGTTAAACGCGTCCATTTGCAGTTCTCACCGCTAGAGGGTTTCCACATTACTTAAGCCATTTATTTCTAGTGTTTCACCACCTTCCTTTAATATATAATGCCGCCGCTGCCAATATTAATAATGACTATTTCTTGCGAGTCTCCATATATCTTTTTACCCAACTGTTGAAAGTAAAAGAATAATGTTTTATTAAAAGTCGTCTAAAATTTTTTTCCACTGGCAAATGTCCGGAAAATTAGCACAACGTAGGTACATCCTAAATGGCTTTATTTTACAATTACATGTTTAATAAGTATTACGTTCACGTATTTGTTAATTCAAAGGTTAATAGATTTTTTATTATTTTTGCGTAAAATTGTAATAATGTAAATTAATACGAATCGTCGATTTTGATTTTTACGTTGACTCATAAACTATCACGACTTAACACATAAATGAATCATGTAATGTTATGAATATTTCTAAATTTACAAATCCGCCGGGATGAATCGTCGCGACCCATATTTCATTAGGATTGTTTTTTTTTTTTTGTTAATTTCCTTTTCCTAAGCTTATATTTGCTTATATTATTATATCAGCCATTTATTGTTCTGTTCACTATTGAACATAGACCCTCTTGGAGGGTTTTGCCAGTAATCGTCACACTTGACAACCGCAAGTAGGGTTGGCGACCGCAATTTAATTTTGGGTACGTTTTAAGAGGAATACTACAGTCTATCCCTCGACCATTAAATACAAAAAAAAACTACATGTATTATTATTATGATTTAACTCTTTATTGCACCATAAATATAAAAATAAACAATGATATATATAAACAATTCAAGTGAAATACAGTAGCATGGAGTACAGATCAAAATATACACATAAAGGTACAAAAGGCGGTCTTATCGCTAGAACGATCTCTTACAGACAACCTTTTGGTTAAAGGAGAACAGATAGAAATACTAAATAATTAGAAGAACATAATACATATACAAAGTTCAAATTAATTAGACGTGTAAGAATATGAATAGAAGGAAGTAAATTCAATCAGTTTAATAGAGCAAAAGATTTTATCTCGGCGGATAACTGAGCGGCTTTCAATCACATTCCGTTCAAATACTCATTCACTCGAATGATTATTTGAACGTATTCCTTATCTGTGTCATTGAATGAGAGCATTCCCTATGTAATAAATGAACAACATTTATATATAATCTATGTGAAACATCTAGTATTGAAATCATCGATTACTCGATGAGAGATTTCGATGTAACAAGATCGTTATCTATATTCTTATATGACAATATTTAACAAAAAAAAAAATACTAAGATTTATTCATTAATTGTACCAAATTATAGGAAAAAAATATAATTTAAAAATATCATGTTTTTAAACTGTTGCATTACCACAGTCAAAACAAATCTTTTTATTTATTTCCAAAATAGTATAATCATAACAGCTGTTAACTGTCCACTGCTGAACGTAGGCCTCCCCCATAAAGGAGGTTTTGTTAGTAGTTGCCACGTTTGGCAGGCGGGTTGGCAATCGCTTTTAGGTTTTTAATGTCGTTTTAAGAGAGATACTGTAACTCATTCGTCGACTATTAAATTTCCTTAGTTGTCTCTTACGACAACAGGGAGAAAGGAAAGGATGGACTGTTTTATGCAGGAATCATACTGCAAATTTATTATGAATAAAATTTATGCAGTTTAAATAAGCAATAATTAATCCCTTTGAGAATATTGTGGTTAATAATCCTTTTACTAATGTGAATGTCTGTTTGTTTGTTATCTTTTGGCATCTTAACGTTTTCCATTACAAATAGAGGTAGTATTTGGAATGGGAAAAGACATACGCTACATTTTACCCCAGTCAATCAATGAATTCTGATCTCGAATAAAGTCGATTGTAAACAATATTAGCATCTGCAAGAGAACTTACCTTTATTTTCTTCCGCAGCCGGACACGGTCCCTCAAGCCAGCGTGGACATGACAACGGTCCTGGAAGTGAGCGAAGCGGACACCGTGACTGGTCATCCGCACAGCTTGGCCATCACGGCGCCAGAACGCGTCACCTTCGTAAAGGGCACCTGCAGAGAAGAGGCGAGGTGGTGGTCGGATGTGTTGAGCGTGTACCCGAGGAGTAAGGTGAGTTGAATCATCCTTCTATGAAATTACCACATTACTATGTCTTTTTTTTTAATAATACTTGATTACGTTTATATCCTGAAATCGATTATCAGCTTAAACATCAAAAATTTTCAAAAAATATTTTTTGTATCCATTAAAATGATTTGTTTCGTGCTTTGGACGGCTCGTAAGGCAGTTGTCCGGTAAGCTACGCCACATTTTTGGCTAATGCCAAAGATTTGGTGAATGTGCCAAATTCGTTAATACAAAAGCGGCTTAAAAACACATGACAACAAAGGGAGCAGAGAGGAAGTCACATGAATATTAGAATTATTAGTACTTATACTCCAGGATGTTGGATCAGGCGATAAAAATCATCATTGCAAGAAAATGGCTCACTTTTACAGTTCAAGTTCTTCCTCAGAAAGTATACATAAAGTCATCTTAATAAATAATTTTAACGATTAATCATTTATTTTACTATCCTATATCAATCAGGAAAATAATAAACTTTCACTGTTTTATTTAATGAATCTCTTACGATATACAATTTATTATCATATTTATTGATGAATTAACTATATAAATGCAATATAGAATTAATAAGTTAGTTAACATTATGGAAACTTGAGGGAATTTAATTAAAATCAATTAAGACAACTTGTCTTAATAAAGATCTTTCCTTTTTAAGTACCTTAGTTTTTTATACTTCGAAGAATTGATATTGTCATTGCGCATCCATCATGTTGAATTATCTGAAAGACCACTTTAAATTTGACGTCAGTAGCCTTAGTCATCAGCCTAATTGCGAGCTAATAAACGTCTCAGACAATTTATCGGATGTGCCGCGCCGGTGCAGCGCCCGCGCATCCACAGCTCCCCATTAGACGCATTGAGGAAACGTCGGAGGCTGCGGGACCAAAACACTGTGTTTACATGTTTAAAGTAGTGACGGCTAATGAGATGTGGTTATGCCGACTTCCTGGCGAAAGCGGCGCGTGCGCAAATTGTCGGCCACTCGGGGTTGTCTTAGCATAGTGCAGTGCGTCCATATTATTTACTATTTTCTAAACTGATAGACACACTTTGAGGCAAATGGAACGCAAATCAGCTTGGCATTTGCTTTGCAGTTCTGTAGGCGTTTTTAGTGTCGGCCGGTAATGATATGAATAATCATAATGACCTCCGCTGGAATTACGCGGTAATGTGATGACTGAAGAGATATCAGAACGTCGCTCTATTGGCTTGATTCACTTACTGCAACATCTAAGATCATATTCGTATACCGGGTCATGTGGTAAACCGGTATGAATTCCCTTTCAACTATACATATAAATTCAATTTCCAAATATGTACGTCTTTTGTCATTGTTCTTACGGTCTACATAAAAGCCTGCTTTGCTCATATTTTCCATGTTTTGAATTTAGAACAATAGAATGTGACGCTTCCAAAATCACCCGAACTACGTCTTTAACTGTCCTTACTATATTGTGAGTTTCTTATTTAAAAAGTATCCTGTCTCAATAACAGGCTTTTAGAACATCCAAAATAGTTACGCCAATGCAAAAAGAAATAATCAGCTTTAGCTTAGCATTGATTCAAGAGGATATAACGATTATAGCATACTCCTTATAAGTATTCATTGAGCACAGGATGTTCCCTCCGCTTTTTATGTCAAGTACCTACTCACTAGTCTTGAAATACAATACACGAAGGCCAATAACAATGTGACCGGCCAGCACCGTGACGACACGAGCTTAGAACTGGTTTGTGTCCTTGGTTTTCAATAGTCCTGATTTCTTCTGTGTAAAGTCCAAATTTCAGTGGTGAAATATTTCAAAGGCAGCTCATTCATTTTTAATTTGATCAAAAGGCGTATGCTTGTATACGTCATAGAAGCCCTGTATCGATTTGTAATTGTATACTTGAAATTTCAAGGGCTTAGGTGAAAAGTCATTATTTTTGTTATTTGGACGAATAATCCTGATTCAACGATTGTAAATTTTCCTCTCTCTATCTCTCTCTCTCTCTCTCTCGAGTTCGAAATACATAATTTAAAAGAAAATGATAAAATATTAATAATTGAAATAATTTTGAAAAATATTTTTTTATTTATGGCATAGTTAATGTATGTTATGTATTAGAGTCTTTTTTATTATTTTACTTCTGTCTTCCATAAAATAATTAATAGGTCGAACTAATTGTAGCATCAGTTAAAGAAACATTGACCCAAAAACTGTTGACATGGCAACGTATGGCCATACCCAATCCTGTTCAGCCTAAATCCTCAATTGCTCGTAATCATCTTATGGGTTCCGTGTTGTGACACGATCGGCCCACTTCACAGATGCGCCGCCATAATTAGTGCGGGATCAGGTTACGTGCGCATGCGCATCTGACTCATAGAATTGTAAAGTTCAACATTTTGGAGTTACAATTTGCCTTCATGATTCATTACTCTAATAGTTATGGTTTCTGTTCCCTATACTATTATTTATTTATTTATTCTTATTCAATGAAGTGATATGAAACGTAAAAGTGGACTGTTCACATCGTGATTATTGTTTGTTTCTTCGTCATCACCAACATCATCATCATATCAGTCATTACTTGTCTACTGCTGAACATAAGCATAAAGGGACGTTTTACCAGTAGTTGCCACATTTGGCAAGTGGGTTGGCAACCGCAGTTGGACATTGGTGATGTTTTAAGAGGAACGCTGCTGCCAATCCCTCGACCATTAAGTTTCCTTAGTCGTTTCTTACGACACCCACAGGAAAGAATGGGATGGCCTATTCTATGCCGGAATCTACACGGCTAATTGTTTATTTACACCCTGTATATAGATTTACTAGAACTGTCAATATCAACTTTCCTAATAATTACCTCATAGACGTCATAAGATTAAGCTCAACACTCACTGATGTAAACATTTTACGTGATAAATGATTTTATAGGATATTCTTCTAATGTACTAAAGCAATAAATTTGGTCTCACTCATTGAGTCTTAATAGACATTGTTTATTAGTTAAATAAATGGTTAACAAATAATACTATTGGAAATAATAATAAATAATAATACTGCTCAAAATAATAATGGTATTATGATGCAATTCCAAATTATTGGTTTTATTGTCCGGTCGTAAACTTTTGATTAAAAAAAAACAATACATGAATATATATCGCGTGTTTTTACATCGACAATACATTTTTTTTTTAATATCATCTCCCCAAGTTCTAATCTGATCTTTGTGACTCACAGGAGCCTTTAATAAATTTATCTAGATGATTTAAAACGTTCTATTTTACGTTCAATTCGCAGTAAACCAAGAATGAGGGTAACTACATGTAAACATATCCGTTGACCCATAAACATGTTCGAGATAGCCATCATTTGATGCAGGATTTCGTGGTATTCATAAATTTAATCGTCACTAAAAGCTCACGTTCCTGTATTGCGTAATCCTTTCTTTTATTTTTATTGTATGTTTTTCTTAAAATTTTTTATTACGTGTAAATCTTACGGTAATATGAAATATTTATAATAAAATATAAAAAAACACAGTGTTATTTTTTTGTATTTCTAAGGGCTTAGAATTAAAGACTTGGTATTAATTCAGATAAATATATTGTTTCTAGCTCTATAAACATAATAAATAATAATAAATTATTTAATTTGCATTTATAAAGTCAGTATTTGTCAAAGTAATTAAAAAAAATAAGGGCCCAAAAATACTTATATACTAATTATAGATAACACAATTTGTAACTAAAATCTAATTAAATAATTCTCAATTATTTTCTAAATATTGATATATTAATTGAATCACAAATCAATTCGATGTAACAGGCCTGTCGCTTTTTATTGTAGCCGATCCTGAGGCACCATTTCTCCAATTATATGTCTAAAATTCAAAATACAGTTTATCTATACTATTACAATTAAATCTTTATTGTAAGGGCCAATATGAACTAATTTACTAAGAGATTTAAGCAAAAACATTTATAATTTTAGTTTATAATTGTCCATAAAACAGTAATTTCACGAAATTATCAAATTAAAATTTTACGTTGAAATGTGTTTAGAGTAATGGCGCCTTAGAATCTAGCCCCATTGTCTACACCAACCTTTAAACAACTGGTCGATGTTTTTGCGATATACGGAAAGGGCCATGGACATGAGATTCCGCGCCTCCGGTGCGTGGTGTCCGTAGATGGACGCGAGAATGTGACAGAACTTCTGAACTGACCAATTAATGTTGTCGAGACGGAAAACAGAATCGATATAATTGCTCGATATCCACTCACTGGTTTGTAGAAAGAATTTTCTATACAAATTGTGTTACAACGCTGTTAGAATATAAATCGTTCTTTAGTTGAGTTAGAAAAAGTTGATACAAACCGGTCGTACCTACGGAGATGAGATACACAAGATTAGAAGTCTAAATTCAAAATTTTATTTTTTTAATTACAAAATCCGGACTTTTTTTAATAAAAAGTACAATACAAAGGTTAAATATTAAAAACCGGATAAATTAAGTCCGGTCCTTATCCGAAAATCCGATAAATCCGGATATGTCCGACAAAATTCGAATGGATGGTAAGCCTATACGAATTACTCGGTAATGCTAGAGGGAGACAATTAAGTACAAATATAATTCGCGGATTGAAAACAATATAAATGTATGTGGCTCTCAAGAATCCGTGTCAAAGCGTTCGTGATAAGTTCGGCGACCTCGCGGGCGGGACTCGAGCCCGACTTGTGTCGATACCAACACCCAGCGACATGACACCGTGCTTGTAATAGTATGGATAATCCTTCGTTTTTAATTAACCTATATATTTATCAAGTTAGAAGAGAAAGAGCCAGAAGTCAGAAGAGAAGGCATAAACCTTTGCCTTCTCTTCTGTCACATCTTTTATTTCCACTACTTTCATAATTTGTCTTATGCATACATTGGCGATTCCTCAGACCCTTGATTTCCTTGATTATTCTCTTTAAATATAACATGATATATATACATACATACATATCTGTCACGCCTGCCTCCCATTAGGGTAGGCAGAAACAATTGAACGCCAAATGCTTCGATTCAAACAAACCTCATATATATATTTTTATATATATTTTTCTCTAATAATTTTTATTTAATATTTTCACCAACTAATATTAAAAATTATATTTTCTAAGTTTGATAAATTTAAGCTTAAGTTATTAACTGATCGAACTAATTGTGTTTGGTACATACATTGATACATACATACATGAACAGAGTTCGCTAAGCAGGCTCCCCTAATCTCTTGCATTGAAACTACTCAATGATATTTTGAGCCAGTATCCGCAATTGGATGTATTTGCCTCCAACTTGCTGGAGTTTCGTCGAGTGACCACAGAGTATTTGTGTTCAGACGTTTTTTTATATTATTCTTGTTATATATGTATAATATTCCTTTTTTATATGTTATTGTACTCATGCTTTCCTGGGTGGGCGTATTGGAAGACTGTAAGACTCACCCAGTGGATGTAATAAATAAATAAATAAATTTTAGTTATTTATTTTTCTTAATTCAATTATTATTGTGTAATATGAAAGTAAGTTTAAATAAGTAAGTAATATTCTTGGACTTTAGTCGACCAATTATATATATTAAAAAAATAAAAAAAAATAATTGAATAATTTAATTTACGCTTTCAGTATAATGAAACCTCCCAAAAATAACAAAATAAAAGTTAAATTCTAAAAATAAAAATAGTTAATTTAAAAAAATACTTTACTTGTCCTTCATTTTAAAGCGATTGACGCGCCATTTTATGTCTGCGAAGTGAACAGGGTTGTGACAAGGTGAAAAAAATCACCATTATGGACGATCGTTTAATTTTACCATTAACCATGTCGCAAGCAATGGCTATTGAATATTTATGCTATAGGTAGTATTAATTACAATATTGATTGAAGGTTATTGAATTAAATTAATTACTCTTAATTACTTTTATTGACAACACAACATGAATTTAAATTATTACCTCACTAACCTTCCTCCGTGTAGTGACAGAGTGAGTATGCAATGAATCACTTATATGATACATTGAAGGTATTATTAGAGGCGGGTAGGAGACTAGGGGAACAGAAAATATAATAAATATATCAAGGCAAAAAAAAAATTATAACAGGTTTTCTCTCTTATATTACACTACTAGCGGCCTGTCCCGGCGTCGCACGGGTGGTCATTTTTACATTTAAAAAAGTGACCATTAAGGCTGCACACGCGACGGAAGCTTAAAAATGGAGTAACTTCTCCCGTTTTCCCAACATTTCCCTTCACTGCTCTGCTCCTATTGATCGTAGCGTGATGAAAGGTATACTATAACCTGCCCAGGAGTATGAAGAATAATTGTACCAAGTTTCGTTAAAATCCATCGAGTAGTTTTTGTTTTTATAACGAACATATAGACAGACAGATAAAAACTTTACTGATTACATTTTTGGCATCAGTATCGATCACTAATCACCCCCTGATAGTTATTTTGGAAATGTATTTCATGTACAGAATTGACCTCTCTACAGATTTATTATAAGTATAGATGAATATCACGTATATGTTGCCAACCCTGATTTATTAAGGATCTTAATCCCTTAATTCCTTTTTTGAATAAATTTATAATCTTTTGAAAAACCTTAATAATTTGAATGCCAATCTATGAATGAGGCCTAAAACAGTGTACTAACAATTGAATGATGATGATGAATTAATTTAGATGATCAAAATTATAAAGGTCGGTCCATACTATCGTAGTCTAGCTACGGGCGATGACGCAGCAGAGTCAGTGTGCGGCGGCCGCGGCGTCAGCGAGTCATCACCTAGAATAGAGGGCGTGTCATCACTGAGGGGTGCTTATTAACCCTTCTTGTAATCCACCCCGTCTGATTATATTGCATGTCTGTCATCTCTTTCTCTCTTTCAATATATTTTCTTTAAGTTCTCAACACAACTGCTGTTTTACTTGAATTATTCACTTTCGGGGAGGACCTTACATTATTTTTAACCGACTTTAAAAATGAGGTTTTGAATTCGTTTGTAATTTTTTTATGTTTGTTACGTCATAACCTTGTCATTTGTAAACCCATTTGGGAAATTCTTTTTTCTTCTGAAAGAATATACTTTCTGGTAGCTCCAACAAGAATTTTAACAGTCTCGTTTTAATCTTTCAGTTTTTAAATTAGATTTTTTTTTGTTTGTAACGATTTAACTTCGTGTATTTTTTTTTTATTTTATTTTCATAATGATAGATAATTGCTATAAGGCCAGCAAACGCTTCTTTGTTTTTTTTTTTTTGTTATTTTTATCTTACGTTTAATATCGGTAGATACAGCATGTTCAGTTCGGTAAATTAAAAAAAAATGTAATGACTTTTCAAAAGTGCTTCAATGTAAGTTTATTTGAATAAATGATTTCTATTCTATTCTATTCTATTCAGAATACCAATACCAATTCGTTGACGGTCACCGTCATCGGCGGCGCAATCGCTGCGATCTTAATACTGTAACGGGACGCGGCGCGGCGCGGCGCCGGCGCCGGCGCCTGCGCCTGCGTACCGATTTGTTTTGTTTTATGTTTCGCGCAATTAATTTTATATGCTCACGTTAACGTGAGTGGACGAATATAAATTCACTTTTTTATTTGTTTAATGAATTAACATTTAAATTTTAATGTAACAACTACAGGTTTAATTTACGTGTAATTAAGATCGAGAAAGATCGACTAGTTTCGGGATCAATTCGTGACCCTTAATCATAAGCGGATGTGAAGAGCTTGACATTAAAATATAATGTGTACTTACGAAACTTAACAATAATATAACTTTTACATGTTTTCTTTATAACTTAAATACCGTTATTACCTCATTCAAGATAGATAACTTAATTTGTTTATTCAAAATATATGTACAATTTTAATGTAATAACTATCGGTATATTAATTTTTATATATTAATTAATTATCGGCGAGATTAAGCAAACACTTTAGACTTTAGTGTATCTGCAAGGTAGTAATCAGGACAATATCAAGATGAATCACGACCGCAGTTTCCTGCGCAGGCGCAAAGCGGATTACTACAGTGATAAAAATAAAAAAATCTAGAATCCGAGCAAAAGACACGGTGTGTCCACCGTGCTCATTATATAACTAGCTGTACTCCGCGGCTTTACCTGTGATCGTGCCTTGCAATTGAATAGCCTGTAACCTTCCTCGAGGAATGAGCTATCAAATGCAAAGAAGAATTATTCCAATCCAACTGGTAGGGGGAAAAGGGATTGTTAGAAATGTGGACTATTAATCGCATTGCTAACAATATACTCTGTCAGGTCGACCTCCACGTGGTCCGCCCTGGAAACCATGCTGATTTCCAAAGATGACTGACCCATCTTTTCATTCTCACCTATCATCCCTCACTGGTGCACCGCCAGTGTATACCGATAGCACAGGCGGGGTTACCGTTCCATTATCATCCATTAAAAAAAGCACTAAATATCGAATAGAAACGTTCGGACAATTAATCGAATGTTACTCCGACTGGATCTTGTCGTTAATGGCCGAGCAATGTGCTTTCGAACAATTAACGAAGCTGGTTTCTAACGCGTTTCACGGCCCATCCTGTGGGCGGGCCGCGGGAAAACATTGTGGTGAACTGCGCTGGTTCCGGACGCTGAGTACTTTCAACAGTGGAGCCGATTCTAAAGCGCTCCAAACTTATCTCTGAATTAGAAGATTCCATTTGAAATCATAGCGAAATCTTTATTGTAAGGCTGCCATCCGTTCGGAATTCCCCGGATTTGTCCTAGTTGTAGTCCTAGAAAAGTGTCCGGGTGTAATCCGGACACTTGTTGTCAGGAGAAATCCATTTTTTTTTATAAGTAGGAGATCAAATGAAATAAATCTTAGTTACAAATTCATCCACAATAACCCGCATTCAAGAAGGCTCGGCAAAATAGTGTCCGGGGAATAAAACATTTTTTGCCCAAATGTCCGGGATTTTTGCCGTGTTTATCCGATGTTGGCAATTCAGGTGGTAGCAGCCCTAGTAAGGACCAATAAGAACTCTTTCTCCACGCAAATAATGTTTCATCCTGGACACACGTGGCTTTGATGAATTGGTAAATGAAACTTAAAACTACTTATTTAAACGCCTGATTCTTTTTTGTTAGCCAAGAAAGCGTCAAAAATAAGTTGATTCATGTTCTCTATTCGTTCGTTGGTTATTCGTTATAAAAGTCATACAAATTAGTCTCCGTCTTTAATTTGATTATTTCCAAAATTACATCATAATAAATCCTAAACACTACTGAATACACCTTCTGCTTAATTTCTTGTAAACACGCTGACAAGTATTCTGGTTGAACAATTATATCTGAATAATTTAATGAATGATAAATGAATAATGAACGAATTATGAATGAATGATGAATGAATAATGAACAAATTATGAATGAATGATTAACGAATGTGTTTTACTAAATATTGATGATTGCCACCAGCAAATCTTTAAATTAATTACAATTCGGCAATATTTTCCGTTTCATAAGTGTGTAAATATTATTTTTGCATGTACAATAATTATTCTAAGCGGTTTTTTTTTATGTGTGATAATGATATGGTAACCCTGCCTGCGCTATTGGTATACGCTAGCAGGGCACCAGTAAAGGATGATAGGTGAGAATGAAAAAGCAGGTCAGTTAGCCAATCATGATAGTTTCCAGGGGGAACCAGACCCCGTTACTAATAATCCCTTTCCCCTTAAGTATATATTTAGTATCTACCTGATTTAGTATAAATCTTATACATGTATAATAATAGTATTTATAATTCGTGTGTATGCATTTGTTTGTAGGGTCGACATAAACGAAATGCTACTTTCCCCGGCGGGCAGACGGCGAGTTTACTGCAGTCTTCAACAACTAGGAGTGAGTTATATACATATGTTAATATTAAATACTTACTACCATATGACTTAATACTTGATATATAATTTAGAACTACTTTATCCTAGAAACAAAATGGTCACGCAGAGGGTTTCAAAGGAGCTTCCGATAGCTCGACTTGTGGAATGAGCTTTATACCCAAATTTTCCTAAAGACTAAGAGCATGGGGTCCATAGGCTATGTAATTATCTACCATCAAATGTTCGTATGCTTATTTACCATCATAAAAGGTATAGAGAAAGAGAGTAGACAATTTAATTATTTTGAATACGGAACCCTAAAACTATTGGTTATCGATAGCGGTGACAACGATATTCTTTGGCTATTTTAGATCCTCGTAATTTCTAAACCGATTTTGATAGTTCTTTTTTTACGGATTATGCCATTTATAAAAGCTCTTTATACCCCGTATTGAAGCCATATTAATTTGGCTACCTTAATATGTTGTGTTATTAGTAGAGCAATTTCTTTTTTAATTTTTTTTTTTGATAACATTTTAAATTATTATATAATAAAAACGTTTTTACTCGTAGAATACTCTGCAGATGCGTCGACGCTACGCGACGTGGCGGACGGCTGCGGGGCGGCGAGGCCAAGGTACTGTTCCGGGGGGACTACCACGTGGCCCGGGCCCCGGGTGCAGCCGCCGCAGCCCGAGATCCCGAGCTTGGCGGCGCCTACACCCATTGACACCAAAGGTTTGTACTTAACAATCCTAACACTAGCTAATCTGACAGATTTCGTCCTGTCAAAAGCTATTGGACTGTGACAATCCGGCAACGCGCAAAAGAAAGAAATGAAATGTTACTTATTCCAAGGATTTTTTCTCGTTATAGAAACCTTTCTCGGACCTCAATAAATATTGGGGGAAAAAATGGCAATTGTTCCAACTGTTCTCGGGCTTCATTTTGCTCTTTGATTTAGTGATTAATTTTTGTCCATATTTTCTCGTGGTCGAAGACCGATTTTGATAGTTTTTTTTTTCAATCTATTGAGTATACTCTCATATCGGTGCCATAATCATTTTACTGAAGTAGCTACCGGCTTTATTCGGAGCATAAATGTACTTCTTGCTAAGCGAAATCTGGGGTCTACCAGGAAATAAAATTTCAATTTTTTTCTTTTATATTTTTGCTCATACCAAAATCGACCTAACCAGTAAATGAACCTTAACATTTTTCTCGTCGCCCTATCGTAAAAAATCAAAAGGAATGATGTTATAACATTCTTAATACTTTTAAACGGTATGTATTATGTATTTTTAACATCAGAATTGTGTTTCGTTCGGCACTGAAATTGCGGAAAACATTTTATGGTAAACCCTCTATTCTTTTACGAAACATTTTATCCTTCATCGACGTGTATGTGTTTACAATTGTAGTATTTATTTTTGTTTTTTTTTTAAACAAAATTTGTATGTCTCCCCATTTTCCAATCGCCGTGTACGTTTATGACTGCTCTTGACTGATTGCTCGTTAAAATTTACAGCTCAGCCCTTTTAAAAGAACTTATCAAGTCTCAAACGAGAGACTAAATTCAAAGAAATCCCATTATTAATACACTCGAGGATAAATTTGTTTGATTCTTGTTAAATTTAAGGTTTCAGTAATTTTTTACACACATTCAGTTTCATCATTGAAGATAAAACCATTAATAATGGGGATTAGCAACCCTTTTGCTAGCAATTATACCCTATCAGGTCGACCTTCTCGCGGTTCCCCCTGGAAAATATCAGGAATTTATCACTACAGGCCAACTAACCTACTCCATCCTTACCAATCTTCTCTTAACGGTACCCCGCTAGTGTATACCAAGAGCGTAGGCGGAGTTACTATTCCATTATCATCCATTAAAAAAACTTCATTATAATTTAAAAAAAAGTTTATTTATAGCTAGCGGCCCGTCCCGGCGTCGCACGGGTGGACATTTTTAACATTTCCCTTCACTGCTCTGCTCCTATTGATCGTAGCGTGATGAAAAATATACTATAACCTGCCCAAGAGTATGAAAAATAATTGTACCAAGTTTCGTTAAAATCCGTCTAGTAGTTTTCGTTTCTATAACGAACATACAGACAGACAGACAAAAATTTTACTGATTGCATTTTTGACATCAGTATCGATCACTAATCACCCCGTGATAGTTATTTTAGAAATATATTCCATGTACAGAATTGACCTCTCTACAGATTTATTAGGTGACAAATTAAATTTGTACATTCACAAAATATCACAAATACATAAAGCAAACACATATAATATATGACACTGAAAAATAAATTAAAAAACTTATCTGACCGTTACAAATTTTAGGGTATCAATAACAAAATGGCACCGATCTCGCCCACGTTACATATGACAAAATAAAATTTAAATCCAATTACGAAACAAAACCGCATTATGTCACAATAATGCCGGCCGCTCCATTCACAAATTCATAATGAATGTATAACAAATTATAGAACAACGCCAACATGCGCACGCGCCTAATAATTGGGTGTAAAAATGCAACAGCGCGTGCGCGGGGGCGGCGCTGGCGCACAGGCCAAGATTATGCGCCGGCGCCGTTTACATAACACATTTGTACTGGGGGGGAAAGGGATTGTTAGCAATGGAGTTTGACAGCCCCCATTGCTAGCAGTATGCTCTCCACATGGTTCCCCCTGGAAACCGTCGTGAACAATTCTTGTTGAATTCGTCACGATGGGCTAACTGACCTACTTCATCCTCACCTATCATCCTTCACTGGTGCCTCGCCGGTGTATACCGATAGCGCGGTCGGGATTACCATTCGATTATCATCCATTAAAAAAAAACACAATTGTACTTACTCGTATAAAAATTGGCCGCGTGCTCCCGGCATAGAATAAGTTCCTTTCCTGTAAATGTCATAAGAGGCGGCTAGGGGAAATTAGTGGTCGAGGGATGGGCAGCAGCGTCTTTCTTAAAACATCACCAAAACCTACCAACCCGTTCTAACGTAACTATTGTCAAAATTTCTTAATAAAGGAAGTTTATTTTATATTATATTTAGAAGCCTATGTTTAGCATTGGACAGCTGATATGATGATATATATATATATATATATATATATATATATATATATATATATATATATATATATATATATATATATATATATATATATATATATATATTGTAGTTATGTAACTCTGCACGCTTTCAACGCGAATTCCAGGAAATAAATTTCAATTCACTTGTACAACAATTAGTCCATTACCCTAAGGTTGTCTTGTAAAGATTGCTCTCAGCAATAAGACCGCCTTACTGTACTTATACAATTGTATCGTTGTGTTTGTAAATTGCCTTGCTTATTTCCTATATCGTATAATGCAAATAAAATGTACTCATTCAATTCCAGATTTTAGCGAGTAATTTCCCATTGCCATAAAATATCCCGAGTTCGTCCTCCTGTCAAAATTTTGTACCTACAATTTTTGAATTTATAAGTGTATTTACGTATTACAAATTCAAAATAAACCGTCATATCCTTTTTAACACTCGTAAATAGTTCAAAAACAATATATTACTTATTATACTGTCAAAGATTAATCCCACGGTCCTTAATATTCATTCCGTTCAGCCATTCCCGAGTATGACGTCAGATAGGGTCATAATTCAAACGTGCATGCATCAGATATGGCACGGCGTTGCAACCAACAAACGTACCTACAGTTAATTTAGCACCTAACATCCCACTGTGTGTGTTGTCAATGAAAATTACCATTACAAATTTTGACACGGACATAAATCCTTATTATAGGCCAAGAGCTGGATGTAAATTTAGAGTAGGTACTCGAGAAAAACAGAAAATTGTATTATAGAATAGTATACGTTGTCTAAGGTAAGAATCATAATTTTTCCAGCATTTCGTAATATATCCGCATGAATATGACATTTTAAATTACATTTTACAAAAAGAAAAAAACACGTTAGTTCCTGAGATTCTCGATTCCTTTAGTCGATTCGTTATTAATCCGTTAGCTTTAATTAAGTACCTAATTAAAATATCTCATCAGCTCTCGGCCTACTTTACTACATTACCACTGTAGGCTGCTGGATTTATGTAACAAATGTCTAATTAATGCAAATTCTGATATATTACTCATAATTGCAAAATTACTTGTCATTCGCCTATTACAATATAGGTGGCGGTACCTACTCAGAACCTTATGTAGAAGTCCGCGAGGGACGGCTGTGTTTAGCAATAGACAGAGATCCTTCGTATCATCTATAATATATTTTATTACAACTTTTGATCAGCGATTATCAATACTAACGCCAGTGGGGAAAGGGATTGTTAGTAATGGAGACTGAGAATCCCATTGCTAGCAATATACCCAACCAAGTTGACCTCCTCGCGGTTCCCCCTGGAAATTATCATCGTTAATTCCCGATGAATTCATCATGATGGGCTAACTGGCCTGTTTTCATTCTCACCTATCACCCTTCACTGGTGCTCCGCCAGCGTATCTCGTTAGCGCAGGCGGGGTTACAATACCATTTTAACCCATCAAAAAAAAATCCTAACGCCATCTATCTGAAGTAGCGATTTCCGTACAAAATTAAGAATTTTAATTAAATTTTTCAACTACAGCGTTTTTTTTTTTCTTTTATTTGGTTTAAAAGAAAAAAGTAACAAAATACAGGAAAGTTGAAATCGGTCAAACTGTTTTTTTTTTAGTTTTCACTCTAGACATTGTAAGCGGAAAAAGGTTAATCACCCATTTCTATATCGCTCATATCAGTTGGATATCTGTTTTAATTCTAAAATTATAACATATTCATAAAAAAACATACTCTTGTTAAAAGAGAGATATATATATATATATATATATATATATATATATATAGATATATATATATATATATATATATATATATATATATATATATATATATATATACATATACATTAATGCGAATTCTGATAATGTTTCATTTTCATCATCATCATCATCATAAAATGCATCATTTTTGTTCGACGATCCAACATCACCGATTGTTTTATTTCGACACCAGATGCCGCTCGTCCATAGTGCTAAATTGTGTACGCCCTAAATTTTACTATCATATCTCGCCCTTCAAATCAGACTACAGTCTCGCAAATAGCTGCTTGTCGGCAGAAACACGGATGAGACACAAAGAGGAATGTAGACAATTTTTGTACATAATAAATTAGGATAAAATATCCAGGTAATTATCCATTGGTTTACAAAATTTCCCTCAAATAACCGTTTAGGCTTGATCGATTAACAAACATCTAAACAGACTTTCTCATTTATAATATCAGTAATATAAATGTAAATCGACATTTACATCTATGCTCTAGATCTAAAGGTCTAATAAATCTAATTAATAGTCCACTTTATTCATGACATTGTCCTGAGAGTCTATATCCATCAGATATAAGTCGGAAAACTTGCCAACCATCATTTCCAATAATATCCACGACGTAAATCTTATCACTGCACTGCTTACAGATTTCTCATTTACATTCTTAATATACAATTAAAATAAGGTTGTACTATAAGCATGTTGCTACTATAAGCAAGGAACTATGCTATGAGTAAAAGAGTAGTAACGAATTGATTCATTCTAATATCTTTATGTTATTATGCAGTACCTTAAATTTTTCAACCTACTTTTTCTGGTTCCTATATGAATGTATTGCGTT